CGTGTAGCTAACAAACTAATCACAATATGGCATTCTACATCCGAATTAATATATTTATACAAAACATTATTACTGCAAATAATATACATCTGCCGACACTGTCTATAAACGGTAATATCCGAAAATATTCGCCGATATCCGTAGATATCCACAAATATCCTTTTTATCCGCACTTTTATAACTGCAAGCGAATATGTACATCATCAATTTAGAATTTCGATTTAATGTTCTTTTAATCACAATCCAGGTAATTTTATTCACGATTACAATACCACCAATCAGAAGAAGGATACGATAACAAAATGGAATATACAAAAATGGAACGTCCATTTAAAAACCAGTATAGAAAATGTCCCAATCCGTTTTTTATCAGTCGAAACCAGAGTACACAGGATGAAACCAGTTATACTGATTTTAAAAAGAGACTTGACTGTGTTATTGGCAAAGTACCCAAGTAAAAACTAAACAGACAGCATAGTACTATAGTCGATGAAAAAACCTATTTTCAAATTTATTTTTTATCTCCACTCTTGACAGAGTGGTCGTGGATATAACGTCTGGGTTTTCTAGACAATCTTATTATGATACATTAGTATTACAAGTCAAAAGAACAATAGCATAATACGTCACAACGAATTTGGTCCTTACATACTGATTTTCTAACAACCGATATCAACTTTAAATCAATTACGTTAAGGTCCAGTGTCGTATGGTAATGGAGTATACTGATTTAAAAATATAGACTTTGTGTAAAAAATAATTATACTTTGTTTAGTAAAACGTATCCTTATTCAAATTAGAGCCATATTACATCCCTTGAATAAGAGTAACGAACTAAAACGTTCTACTCTTTTCATAATGCGATTTTTTAATAAGGGATTCTAGTATTTCAAATGTAAGCAGAAGTATTTTTATTCAGTCTAGTAGATACCAGTATCACCGCCAAGGGCGCTAGCGTCGAGTAAGATCTGCACATCAATACAGTTATCTAATATGAACATTAGACCGTAAGTTTTATTTATTGCTAATAGATCACAAACGATCTTAAACGCCAGTGGCGCCACTTGGCGGGAACTAACATGATAACGTTTGCTGGTACTAAATGTAAATTGAATTGATTATTATGAACAACATAACAACACTGTAGCTAATATAAAAACAAATTCTGCTCACGTTTGATTTTGGCGGTCGGTATCACAAAATAATCAAAATACCAAACACGTATTGTATGATAAAAAAACTATAACAATGATAAAAATTGCAAGTATTTTGTCCACAACGACATTATTGCGGCACTGTGCGTATATTTTAAATTTACATTCCATTTTTAAAATTAACTAATTACTCCAAAATGTCGTACTCATTCCTTTAAAGTCGACATTCGTGCACAAAATACTTTAAAAAGAAAATTGATCGAGTAAATAAGAAAATTCTATGCCTCATGTGCTGGCGAGGAAAAATGTTAGTTAAGTATAAATAAAAATAATATGTGCCGGCGAAGCATGTTCTCTTATACTAAATATAATATAGTTTATATATAAATGACTAATATAATACGGCCGCGCTAAGTAGGCCAGGATTATAAGGCACGTGTCCACTGTGTTGTCACAACAGATAATGAATTGGGCAAGATGATAGAATAAATGTGAAGAGGCTATATTCTGATTTCTAAAGAGAGATTTCAAAAGCCTAAACAAGAAAGAGATAGCTTTATCCAAGTGAAATCGATTGCCTTTTTTAAGATTCGAATCATCGAATGAATCATTCTCACGCCTGGGTGAGGCGGAAGGGAGTGTCAGACTCTTATTGACCACCCCGTTCCAACTCCTGCTTTTCGAGTCGGAGCCCTAGTAATCCGTTAAGTCTCCGTTTCCGCGGCTCCGTATCATCGCCCCGAGGTTGGTAGGAGGCGCTTAAGCGCCGCCCCTGTCCTTTCCAACTTAGGTGCCAAACTTCGAAAGTGTTCCACGAAGTTCCACCGACTGTCGAGGACGAAAATCGATTGCCTAATAATGGAAATAAGGATATTCTACAGCCAGTGACGTAACATGCCGTTTGAGACCCATAAGAAATTTATCGGATGGGCCCCGTTCCCTATAAAAAAAGTTGTAATGAACCTCTGAATAGGAATTCTCTCTAGCTGGGGGCCCGCGGCATTTTAACGACTTTCCACATTGTAGTTACGCCACTGCCGATATCAAATAACGGGACGAGATATAGAAGAGGGAAGAGCTGAAGAAGTCCAAGTAAATTAAAAATCAACGACTAACAACACACCGAGTACAAGATAGAAAATGTCTGAAACACTCTTTCAAGCGCTACAGGAACAATGTGAAAAGAGTTTAGAGGCCTTACCGCGCTCGGCACTCTGATTGGCCGGCTCCAATGAACTAACCAATCAGAGCGCCGACCGTGGTCTCGTTTCGATCTTGTTAAATGTAGACTGCACGGTTGGTGCGGTGGCTGGGCAACCGGCTGCCGTGCAACGTGTCGCGGGTTCGATTCCCGCACGGGACAACACTTAGTGTGATCCACAAATTGTTGTTTCGGGTCTGGGTGTCATTGTGTATGTGAACTTGTATGTTTGTAAACGCACCCACGACACAGGAGAAAATCCTAGTGTGGGGCAACGTTTTTTTAAAAAAAAAAAAAAAAAAGAAAGAAAAAGAAACTGATACTAAGCCCTCTCATGTGACAACAGTGTGAACACTATATTATCGGCCTAACGCCAAAACAGTTAGAGCTCAGAATAAGTTTTCCTATAATAATGGAACTATATTGAACTGGCATACATCTTAACCCTTTCGATTGTTAAGGTAAAATAAACCATATTTTAATAACTCAGAATTCAATTTCATTAACATCAATCATCTTTCACTATATAGTTCAAGAAACCAAGCTCAAACCGATTTGGCGTCAACTTTCATGTGTATGGACCTTAAAAGCGCAGGTCACGCCATCTAGCGAACGGGTGAGTTAACCTGGTTAGCAGCGCTTAACCTCTTCATATTTCGTTTACAGTACTTCAAGTTTTGTGTTATTTCGTTACATCTTGTGCTTATAAATAGAAGAAAATCGCTGTTCACCCATTTCGTTTGCTCGCGAATGGTACGGCTGCACTTTTATAAAATTTTTCACACTACAACTGTCAAGTAGCAAGCACCATTTTCAAATATAGGAAGATTTATTACAACATAATATAGTCGAGTCAACCTTGCGTTTGGTATGTTAGTTGTATTGTAATAAGGGGCACCCTATCCTATTACCACTACTTTTTGATTAGGTACAGAACTTTGCCAATATTCAACATACAATTATTATGAAAGTTTCATATCACAAATCTCGTAGGACTACGTGACAGTTGCAGCGAGAAATACGATCCGACATGAACACACAACAAATACACATAAATGCGACAAACTAAACATGTAAAGTATGACTTCTAACAATAATATATAAGACAGTCTCTCAAAAACTTTATTATTATGATAATAAAGGCGGAAGTCAACGATTACTTCAATATAATATAATAAAAACAAGCCTAATTAACGTGGCCATCAATTATATGTAATATGGTAAAAGAAACACATCTAAATATATCTTACAAATACAAATATCTATTATATCTTAAACGTTATAATAAAACTTATATCTATATACCTACTTCCTAATATGTACAACTCATATATCTTTAATGATATTGTGATAATTCGCACTCTATCATTCTTACATCACTTTCCATATTTTATAAGCATCGTTATTGTTTTCAAAATACTATTTAAACATTTGAACGCCAGCGTCACATCTGGGCTACATCGCCACGCTTATAAAATTATAAGAAAGAAACCACGATGGTCGCACCCAAAAATGTTCTCTCAAAATTACTTAATATTTTAAATATAAAAAAGTATTGCATTATTATTGGTGTCCAATTAAGGCGATTTAATATAAACGATTCTAACATCCATCTGCTAAATTATACATCTATTTTATATTTTATTTTATATATAATATAAACATATATAAGGACACCGATACACTATACATGGTATTATGAATATCTATTAATTTTGCATATACTACGTCTGAATGAACACAAATACCATCCTACGTCCGCCGTTGCGTTCTGAGATTCTTAAATCCGATAAAATAATAAATAAAAAAAAAATATAAATTCGTTCTTCGGCTAAGTTTAGCTCCTAGCTGCCAACAATAAAGGAATAAACATTTGCTTAATCACATTAAAAATAATAGCTCGCTTTATAAAAACTTTAGCAAATGAAACTGTACTTAAGAAGTTGGTCATCTCGCACCACTGTTTCCCTATAAATGAAAGATAATGCGTACTAAACATAATGACAACGACCTCCGGCATACTATGACCGCACCTCTCTAACCTCCTATATTCGTTCGCTCGCGTATATACAAAGCCACCATACTACCCTTGTCACAAACCTGTACAAAAATAACGCAGGACACACAATATTATGTATTTTTCTTTAATATATACAACATTTAAATTTAATAAACGTCTTGGTGTCACCAATTTATTGATATCAATAATTATAATTACTTTGTTATATAAACTAGAGTATAAAATTTGACTCCAATCAAAATACAACGCATTCTGCTATTAAATGACGAAACTATTACTTTACGTAAGATTCACACACACATAGAATTATTATAGACTTTTTAATAGTTATTATAGGCACAAATGAACAATATTGAGTGCCTTAAGCTTCACTACAACTACTTATAGTAGGCGAGGGGTTTTAGTCCTACAAATATATTCATTCATATTTCACTACGGGACCTCCTTGCTTCCCAATCAAATACAATTCATTAAAACCTTTCTTTCCTTTGACAGTTACGTTTTTTTTTTCTAAATAAATAAAGCTGCCAGATTAAAAAAATACAATTATGCCGACATGTCTTTTTTAATAATTTCGATATGATTTATGACTAGTGCTTTTTCAATCGCAGTTGTTTTTATTTTCTTTTTTTGATACGAGATCGAAATGTTGTGATTTATCGCGATTTAAGTCAATATACTAAAATAAAGATAGGAAACGTGTTAAGGAAATTGTCCACCGAGTCACTCTAAATGGTTAGTATAAGCTGTGATTGGCTGATAAATGGAATGACGAAATCAGTGGACCATCTTAGCGACACTAAAAATAAAAAGTAATATTATCTATATACATATAGTATAATGTCTACTCCACTCTTATTTCAAAAAATATAGAGCCAACACTGATTTAGTTTTTGACCTGAATATTTTTTCTTGTACTGTATTTTTCTCGAGTAAAGGGACTATCGTCGTATCGTTTTGGCTCTAAAAACTTTTACTACGTATTAAAAGCCGTTTTGTTCACCATTAACACCCATATTCTAAGAAGTTTCTTTAATAACTTCGAGTAAAAAGGATTTATAAACAAAGAACATTAACAGAATAGACCTTTATCATAGAAGAAAGTGAAAAATATAAAAAGATAGCTGTGTGTGTATCACAAATAAATGAAAAAACATCACATCTACTTTTCTATGATAGAAAAACACAACCATTACACCTCAATAGATGATGGTTATACTGTTAGCGCGTGTTGTACGAGGACACTCGACAAGTTTCGGGTCCAAACGGAGCCCTTAATCAAGAGTTGCACATGTGCCAACTTAAAATACCTCGCTTGAACAATATCTAACTTAGTATGTATCCCGTTGTACTTATCATACAAACAGATTATAACCTAATCTCCTTATTAGGCCCATTTGAGAAGGATACACAATGTAACACATCCAATGAAAATTAAAGATTCATCTTAGAATATGTGTATATTTGTAATGTAGAATCTATCGCTAGCCTACCTCTAGTAACCATATACTATGGAGCTGTCTATTGTTATTGACTGGAACTTAATATTGGCTACTCTTTCATTGCACTAAACTTGTTAAATTGCTAACTAGAAACAGGATTATATTGACGACGCGATGTCACGAGACAGAATACTTGAATGTAAAGAAATCTATAATATTGTCTTTCGATTGAAATTCAATTCAAAACCTTTGAATTAAGATCGATTTTTGTATGAAGTTAGAAGTACATCTGTTAAATCTTTGTCTAAAGGGTGTCCATAAAACAGTGGCGTAGAACATTGTAGTAATACCAACAAATATTTTGTAATTAAGTAGATAATATATACGACCGTCGTTTCAACTGCTCATCGTTCGTCCATTTCTTCAGTCACCGTCCCGTCGCGCCGCCATATTGTCAACTAACACCACATACTAATTTCGACGCAAACACTAAGTTTAGTAGGAAGTAACGCATACCGACTACGGCTACCGTACAAGCCGGACCTCCGTCGAAGCACTTTCTAGAGGTCACTTGTTTCACTGCCCGCTACAAGTATTGTATTGTACTGTCTGTTGCGTACTCTTATCAGGCAGGGAAATTTAGTTTTACCTGAAACAAACAACAAAACGTGTAAACATAATTTTTCTTTAGTAGCTAGCTATTTCTTCAGTATGTGTGACATGCTAGCATTATAATAGTATACGGTACTGAACGACTAAAGACTTTAAATATTTGTCTTGCGCAAAACTTTGTAGACTTTGCGCAGAATGCGCAACTTGAAATGTTTACACAACCTGTTATTGTTTAATCTTCTTTCTATGAATAAAAACATATTTCTTTGTCATTAGTTCGGTTCAATTTGCAGTCAAAAAGACAGGTATTTTTTGTTGAGTTTCGGTTTCCTACAAGCACACATTTAATTAATAGTATTTCATAATGTTACCTAGTCCGAGTCGGAGTCGTCATTGAGCGAGGAGCGCAGCTTGGAGAGTGTACGTCTTGCGGCAGGCGTGTCGTCCTCCTCGTCTGAAGAGATCACGATACGCTGGCGTGGCTTCACGCCTGTCGCGCCACGGGTCATACGCCGTGATACTCCGCCTTCCTTCTCCGCTGTAAGATAAGACAGCATCATAATTTTATTAAAACTCATATAGGTAAGGAAAATATCAGAAAAGCCACTGGATTTGACTACCAGGAACTCATAAACTTAAGAAAATGTAAGAATTATTATAGACTGATAATAATGAGTTACTTCTTCGATCACTTTAAAAATGTGTACCTATCGTACTGCAATATATTTGCAAACAAAGAGTTCCTCGGAACAGGTATTTTATGCTACTTGCATAACCATGTCCAGAAGTTGATGTAATCACTCAAGTTACTCATTTAAAACATTATTTATAATTCATGATTTACAAAATATTTCATAAATATTTTCTCTACAGTATCTTTCTTCTACAGTACATCACTACTAACTTATTCATTTGTTAGATACCTTTGACAAATCTAAAGTTACATACTATAAATATACTCACAAACAACTTCTTTGTGCTTAACTTTAGCCTCCTTCTTGGCTTGTTTCTCCTGTTCCTTCTTCTCGATCTTGGCTTTCTTTAGCGCCTGGCACTTTTCCAGCGTGGGCTTACCTTCCAGCCCGGCCGCCGTCAGTAGGTCCAGCATCTTCTGAACGCGCTCTTTGTTTTTCGTACAACCTGGAATAAGATAAACATTGGTATTATAAGTAGAGGTGTAGTTCGGAACAAAATACAGATTTTTTACTTTCTAAACATTCAACGTGTAGTAATTTTTCTGCTCAAACTTTGAAATAAACTATTTTCACTGAATTATAACGGTTTTCATTGTCTTCATATTTGAGTGGAGTCTAAACCACTTGATTAACCCTAAATGGTTTGATTTTTTGTCAAAACTTATCAATCTGATATAGATCAGAGTAAATACAGAATTATGACCATTATCAGAATAAAGTTCCTCACCTTCAACAAGCTTCTTGTAGTCGAACCGTATTCCAGCAGCTTTGCAGAACTTCTTCATGTCTGTGATACCAGGTTGGCGCAGCTCTGGTGGGACAGGAGGTCGGCCCCGTCGTCCAGTCCCCGGCGTGCTGGGCGTGGACCCCGTACTACCCGCGGATGGGGTCCCAGGTGCTCGCGGACTGTTCTTGGACCCCTTCGGTCTCCCAGGTCCGCGCTTCAATGGCGTATCCTGTTCGTGATGGACGATCATTTCATTCGGTACGATTAATTATGATTTATGAATGACGTGTTTCGTGAGTGCATGACAAATGTTTAAAAATTAACTTGTACCTGATCTGTCTTATTTGTGTAATGAAATTTCAACTTTATTGCAAAATAATAATATGGTTTAATATCTAGACATACAGTAAATTTATCAAGTACATGGTTAACAAACATTTGCCGACATTATGGTTGTGATTATCATATTTTGTTCACACTACAATCTTACATACAATGTATTTAATATAAACTAAATTATACAAGGAAACTAACATTTTATGTATGAAATTAAACTGCAGTGCGAACACATGTAACATATGACTATGAATATCAGGTGCCATCATGTATTTGTTCCTTAAGTAATGATGTAATTAAAAAATAGGTGGTTGAAATTCGTATATAAAATGAATGAATGAATGCCACATTAGTCTTTTTTTAAGGGGGGAAAAATCATTGAATGACTGCACCCGCCTGTGTGAGGCGGGAGGGAGTGTCAGACTCTGACTGACTAAAAACCAACCTCTTCCTACTCCTGCACTTCGAGCCGGAGCCCCGGTAAACCGTTAGGTTCTCCGCGACTCCGAAATGCCGCATTACTCTAGTCTACTACTAAGCAAGGGAACAGGAGATCCTGGATCACAAATCTATATCCCAAAGTATAGATTTAAGGAAAATTCTCAATGGCTTCCCTTCTGTTACATGGGACTAATAATATGCGTGATAAAAAAGAGGATGTACAGATCGGGAAATGACAAAAAAACACTTACTTCGTCACTTTCTTCCGAGTCGCTGCCGGAGGAACCTGACGAGTCGTCTGACGATGAAGAGTCCACCGTCGTTACCTGGAGAGTACCACGAAAATCATAATTAAAAACAGATATAACATTATAAAGTGTGTCTCTGTTTGTTTGTCCGTCTTTCATGGCAGAACTGAGCTAGAAGGATTATCATGTCTAGTATTGCCTCTACAAATTTATGCCACATCTATCTTTAACTAGCGACCCGCCCCGGCTTCGTACGGGTGCAATATGCATGCATTGTACATATAAACCTTGTAAACCTTCCTTAAGAATCACTGTATCTATTAAAAAAAACGCATCAAAATTTTAAGCCTTTGCGTTGCGTATTTTAAGCCTTTGACTGCCGTTGCAGAAAACTGTTGAAGGTAAATATCTCCGCTATCATGGCCTTGTCCCCCATGGTGTTCAAGGTGTTTAAAGATCCTAGCATACACAGGGACAGACAGACAGCGGATAGCGACTTTGTTTTATACTATGTAGTGAAGTTAAATATACCTACATCTCAGTTCACAATATACTCAAAAACTACTGAATAGATTTTGATGTATATTTTTAATTGTATTTTTTGGTAACACAGCTTAAATAAATATTTCTTTGTTCTTACCTCAGTAGACGCAGGCATGATACCTCTAGCCTGCAATTTAGCCGCGGCCAGTTTGGCGGCGGCGGCCTTCTGCGCAGCGATCTGTGCGGCCTGCGTGGCCAACTTCTCTCGCTCGGCGTTGGCGTCGTAGTAGTTGAACAATACCTCCATGGACACCGGCACGTCGCCGAAGTATACCTCGTTGGGAATGTGAGACGAGTCTAGGCAGTCGTCACTCCATCGCCTGTGGGAGAGTTCAATATTTTGGTTTTAGGTATGTGTCTAGTAGAATAATTCGTTGAATATGGAGGAGAAATAGTCCAGGACTCGTGGACGGTATCTCAGACACTTTTGACTATCTAACAAAAATATTATTATGTTTGTTTGAGAATACAGTACAAAATTATAATTTGAGTTCCTACTGCCAAATTGATAGTTAACTTTGTATTGAAGGTAATGATAAATTTAATGTTTGTTTTATTGCTTGTGCTTATCAAATAAATATAAAATGGTATATTCTGTTTTTAAAAAAATACAGTAAATGTAACTGACCTTCTAAACTGTATTCCAGAGAAGTCCTTCCTGAACGGTCTGATAGCATACTGGTACCCGGCGGCGCGGGGGCGCGGCGGCTGCAGCAGGGGGCGCGGCGGGGGCGCGCGGGGCGCGGCGGGGACAGGCGCGGGGGCGCGCGCGGCTCCGGGGGGCTTGGGCTTGTTGGTGGAGCCCTTCGGTCGGCCCCTCTTCTTGGGCTGCCACAGTGACGATTTATTCTCAAGATTTAACGGGTGCAGTGACTATGCGATCGATGGGTGAACTAACTGATTGTGTGTAAACCCAAGTGCTTATAATGAAGTTGCCTAAACCTACGGTTTGCCAGCATCCCCACACTTAGTGGGCAGATTGAGAATCAATATTTAGATTTACTTCACCTAAAAAGCTTTTTGGTCTTAACTAAAAAGTTGATACAACTATTTTCATTGTGATCTTGGCATTCAAAGCTTCTTTACGCCTAAAATGAATTTTTGAACAAAATCTTTCAAATAAAATGCTTTTATAACAGATGTTGTATTCTATCCCATGCACATTCAACATGCAAACATAATAATATGTCTAACTACACAGTACAATCCTAAATGTAGTGAAATACAGAACTCCCGTGGATACCAAAATGGGGTGACATGAATAAGCAGGTGAAAATGAAGTATAAAACAAATAAAATGAGTCTAAAACTAGTTTACCTCGCTGCCTGGAGTCGGCACCTTGCCAGGTATGGACCCTGACTTCGGAAGCTCTGGACTGCTGAACGGTTTCCGATCCTCCTCGCTGAAACAATAAATTATCAAGTCTTGTGTGTATTTCTTCAGTATTACGAATACAATTTGAAACAGTCAACAATTTATTTGATAATAATAAAAATGCTATGCTAATGCTAAGGCATAGTTATTTATATCTTAAGTCGTATATATTTCCTTTTAGTAATAGTATTTATTTGATTAACTAAAAATCGCGGGTTACTCACGTGAATATACTGAGAAAAGCTCTACTAGTTTCGAACAACCGACTTCGCCGCGACCGCGCTCGATTTTTAATTTTTCAGTTTTACACTTAACACGTACAAAGGACTACATAACAACAATGCGTACCTCTTGTCACTGAGAGTGGTCGGCTCGGCCGCCCGTTGCGAGTCCCCAGCACCACCTTCAGCTGCACCCTCGGCCTTGCAAGACTCTATAACACACACGATAATATTGTAATAGTGTGTCGTCATGGCCCGCACGAGGGGTTCGAAACCTAACAACGGCAAGTACCAATGTGACTTTTTCGAGTTATATGTACTTTCTAAGATTATTAAGACACCACTAACCAACTGTGAAGGAAAACATCGTGGGTAAACCTGGACTTTATAATTTCTAATTATAAGTCTGAAATCGCCAACCCGCAATGAGCTAGCGTGGTGAAACCTTCTCCGTGTGAGAAGAGGCTTTGCTCAGCAGTGGGCATTATAGGTTATTAATGTGATATTATGTGTGAATAATAGAATAAGCTAACACCGCTTACAAAGAGAGATTTTAACTGAGCACTGGCCTTATTGCACCATGTACATTGTTCTGTTTTTTTAAACAAATATTCTTGTCTTTTTATTTAATTTGTGGAACGGTGCAAATAAACTATTTTTCTTTCAATAGGATAGTTCTAGGTTTTGGATAAATAGAAAAGGTTCACTCACCAGGCGGTTTCTCCAGTGACTTGTTCTCAACACCTATGATTGGATGACCATCATCTGCAGAGATATATTGTTATGTAGTATGATTATGAATTCAACGAGTTTCGTTTCATAAAACATTGTCGCTACTTGCACAGTAATAAGATAAATGTATCAGATCACAAATGTATGTACACACCTTTATTTTGCAACTCAGCAGGCTTCTGTGGTCCGTCCAGAGATAACGATTTTTGGCCGACATCTAAAATAAACATTAACATTTGTTGTTAATTATTCTATTCAGAGTAGAGAGATTTTAGAGAGATATTTTAGTGTAGGAGAGCAATTCTTCGGCCCGAATGGGAGGCCCAATTACTCTCCCCCCTTCCCAATCTCCCCAATGCCTGAATCCCAACAATCCTAAAATTTCTAATCCCTAAAAGACCTGGTGTTCCAGGTGTCCATAGGCAATGCCGATTGCTTACCATCAGTTACATACGTCTACTCTTTTATCGGCTTATACCAAGAAAAAAAACGAATGGGCCGGCTCAATAGGAGTTATACCACGGTCTCATAGAAAACTGACGTGAAACAACGCTTACGTTGTGTTTCGTCGTATAAGTGCGGTTACCGGAGGCCCAATTACCCTTCCCCAATCCCCGAATCTTTAACAATTCTCAAATTCCCCCAAAAAGCCGGAATTTTGTACGAGATCGTGTAGTGACGTCACGTTTTTTTAGCATCAAACAGCATACTTATTATTTCTCAAAAATTTGTTAGTAATATACCAAAATTAAGTTGGTCATAAAATCAATTAATGAAAGTGTGATTATTTTTTTTAAGCTCTATTGTATTGAACAGTCGAAAAAAAAAAATTTTTGTTTAAAGAGTTCAGCGAAATCTGAAAACACAATGCAATAAATTGTTGTTGCACTGTGTGTAGGTATTGACCTAACTCTGCAGTAAAACCAGTGCCTTTAGCCAAACGCCGCTTTAGCGCTTGTCTACAGAGAGAGTAGAAATCAAAATGTATGGAGATGACACTGACAAGTGTCAAAATTTACGTCAATTCCATATAATTTGGTTTTCTATTCTACATGTAGACAAACGCTAAATGGCATTTGGCTACAGCTGCTGGAAACAAGCAACAAGGTACACAATTGGTACGGGTTGCCACCCGTACTTTATAATAAAGTATTGTACGTTATTTAAGGTAATTGTACTCTATACTTTGTAAGAATATTATAGTACACGAAAATACTTTATTTTTGCAAACTTCATTTCTATTAAAGTTACGTCGTAAGTATTTTTCGGTAAACTTATCGATTCGATATCGATATTTATCGATTTATGTTGAATCGATTTCGCCACTCGCCAGCGCCACTATTCAATTTCTAGTAAAGATGCAATTGTGTTATTTCAATGCAATTGTTTAGTAAAGATAGTAATTTCATAAAAACTGCAAAAAGCTATAAAATATATTTTTAAATATAATACTGAATAAGAATAAATTGTACTTTATTTTTGTACTCTGTACTTTTCTTACCTATAATCGTTAACGTACTTTAAATACCAAAAAAAGGTGGCAACCCTATACACAATTACGAAAAATACATACCAATAGGTTTGTCCTGTCTGTGTGCTAAATCATCAGGCTTGAATATATCCGTCTTTATCTTAATTTTAGGCTGGTCTAGATCACCACCCTGGAACAAAATGTTATAGAAATAAATAATTTTGTTCAAACTAAACTCAGCTCTATTCTTCTGTGCAGTGGAACCTTTTTTATGTGGCAAACTAAACGTTTGGTGATTTTATAGATGATGTTCGATTATACACCTTATTTCAATATCATTATGTGTTTGTGAAAAGTGTATATTTTACAATATTGAACTTTATAACAGTTATTTTAAAGACAATATTTTTTTTTTACAAATACTTCGTCCTTAGATATTCTACTGCCTGTTTTAGTTCAGGCTATTTATACATATATTGCTCTCTTCAACATATAAATCTAGTCAAGACTCATTTTCAAAAACTAATTCGGAAAAGACAATGAGAAGGATCAGAAGGATCTACAACTAGAATGGTCTTCTTATTACATCTTACATGACATTTAATAGATTGTATCATTATTTTCAATCTACATACCTCTAAATATGTATTTCTATATTTACTTATGTCTGTTGTTTTTTGGACTCGAGAATCGAACCCAAGAAGACCTCTCACCCTACAGTTAACATGCGACCACACAATCAATTTCAAAATAGGGATGATAACAAGGTATGAAAATTAAAAACCTAATCAGTCCGTCAGTTAGATAATTAAAAAATATTAGACACGTATTTTTTATTTTGTCGTATAAGAAAACAATACTTGGATAAAACGAATCAAAGTTTAGGAGTGGGGGTTAAAACGTAAGTACGTAGAAACTACGTATAAAATGTACATAGAAGTGACGTCACGCGACATTTCATATCAATATATCGTCGAGAGTATCATGTTTCCGTAAGAAAATAAAAAATACGTGTCTAATATTTTTAAATAATCTACGAGACGGGCATTAAAATAAAAATTAGTCATCTACCCTATTCTCTTATAACAGTAAGATAAAAAAGGCTCCATTGTACGTATTTACTATAAAAATATTGTATATTAACCAAGGTACTGGGTATGTTGATATTGTACTCTCTCTGCCTCGCCTGTAGATTGAACACATACAAACACATGTTATTATAGCACATACACATAGAAAATATATAAAACAACAATATACTTCTAAACAACAAGAATAGAAAAGATTGCAGAGTAAAATCTATACTAATATTATAAAGAGGAAAGATTTGCACCTATTTTTGTATGTTTGTAATGAATATGCTCAAAAAGTACTGGGCCGATTTAAAAAATTCTTTCACCAATAGAATGCTACATTCTTCCAATTTGACATAGGCTACATTTAATTTTGCAAAAAATTAGGGATCAAACGTTACATAAAACGAAATCATCTGGTGGCGAAACAGAGTTCGCCGAGTTTGCTAGTTGTGTAAGTATCTTTAGAAACTTTTACTCTCCAAGAGTTACTATAGTATTAACGACTATTTAGAAGATAAGTCGATAGAATCTAAATAGTGTAATTTTAATAATAATTTTGCACGCCACATATGGCAGGATACGCCGGATAAAAATTGCATTGTAAACACCTTTTGTACCATATTTTAGAAAATAAACATTTACTTTTTTTTTCTGGCATAAGCCGGTAAACGAGCAGACGGATCACCTGATGGTAAGCAATCGGCGTCGCCCATTGACACCTGGTGCCACCAGAGGCATTACAAGTGCGTTACCGGCCTTTTGGGGATTAGGAGTTTAAAGATCGTTGGGGATTCAGGAATTGGGGAGATTGGGGAAGGGGAGGGTTATTGGGCCTCCGGTAACCTCACTCACACTACGAAAGACAACGCAAGCGTTGCATCACGTCGGTTTTCTGTGAGGCCGTGGTATCACTCCGGTCGAGCCGGCCCATTCGAGCCGAAGCATGGCTCTCCCACACTTTGATTTGATTTGAAAAGACTCATTTGTTTTTTTGTATGTATGTTGTAATACTTTAATACAAAAACAACTGAATCGATTTCAAAAATTCTTTCAACCTTATAGAACTACACCTTTACTGAACAACATCGGCATTACATTTAAAAAAAAATCCTGATACTATTCTACGTTGACGAAGTTGCGGGCATAATCTTGTGTTAAATAAATACATGCCTATATAATTATGCAGTATTAAATTCAATAAGAATACAAATCAAAACTGACAAAACTGCATGGTTGGTGCGGTGACTGGGCAACTGGATGCCGCGCAACGTGTTCGCGGGTTCGATTCCCGCACGGAATAACTCTTTGTGTGATCCACGTATGTGTGTCATGTATGTAAACTTGTTTGTTTGAAACACACCCACGACACAGGAGAAAATGCTTGTGTGGGGCAACATATTTTTCATAAATAAAAAATTATATTGTTGACAGTTTCTAATTTCTAAGCAGATTTGAATAAGTGTAAGTAAATTATACTCATTCCTTCTTCTTGTGAGAAGAGGCTTTTGACCTGCAGTGTTACAGTGAGAGAATGATGTTCATGAACCAGGATACAAATAATTATTTTCAACTTTGCAATCATTTCTATTGTTTATATTTTCAAAAAGAAGAAAAGCACACACACAGGTCTTAGTGCAAGTTTGTTTCACATAACATAACATCACGCCTTTTGTCCCCGAAGGGGTAAGCAGAGGTGCACATTATGGCACTTAATGCCACTGTACAATGTAACACCCACTTTTCAATATTTTTTGTTTTGTTTGCGAGTGCTATGTAATAGGAGATGAGCCTATTGCCATAGATCGGGCAAAGTCCCAGACTCAGGTCTACTACTGAGATTAAAAAAAAAAAACCAATACTACTTTGCAGTCCCAGGAATCGAATCCGAGATCCCGTGCCTGGCAGCCGCACTTGCGACTACTTGGCCAATGAGGCAGTCTAATCTAAACGAATATGCGTTTGGCGAACTAATTGGCCGGCACCAATGAACCAATCAGAGCACAGGATGTGGTCATGTTGCAATACCATTAAAAATAAAACAAACTTGTACTTAGGCCTCAGATATAAAAAGTATCAGTAAAAGAAAGTTTTTAAATCAATAATCTTTTGAGTAAGTAAGCAGAACATGAAACAAAATTAATTTTATAAGCAAAAATATGTAAATAAACTAATAAAGTCAGAATTTATTAGTACTGAATCAAAATACTTGGTTATTATTAAATTGAAACTATAAACATTTTATTAAAAACAATATTAGACACAAATACTTTAGTCATATAAAAAAATAATGATGAATCCAAAATTACTTGTATTATTTTCGTATGTAGAAAAGAACCCCTATTTGTTTAAAATGCACTTACCAGCATTTCATTCTCAGGGTGCGGTCGTTTCTGAGCATCAGTTGGTTCCAGTTTAATCTCTGACTTGAGCTGTTTCACATCCAGGGGCTTCTGGGTGTCCAGTGGAGGTAACAAGTGTGGTTGGGGGGGCCAGGCAGGCTTGTGCACACCCACATCTCCATAGCCTTGAACTAACACATTGCAGTCAACTCACAACACAAACAAACATATTCACAAAAATATAAAAAAGACCTTTACTTAGTATAGCTTCAAGTTGTAAGACATTAACAGAGAGAAAACAGGTTATTCATTATTTGCCATAGTCCTAACTCACACACACAACCAAGAGGAAAACTTTTACTACCAACCCATTGATAAAAAAAAATGTCAACAATCTTTAAAATCTGTCTAAGTTCATTACCATACGAAAATGGGCTCTATTTACTGTGACCCAAAATCTATTTTCTACTACAAGGTGAATGTTTGGTTATATTTTTATTATATCTAGAAAATATTATGAAAAATTATATTGTTAACTTACCCATATGGGACTGTGGCATGTGTAGCTGTGCCTGCGGCGGCTGTTGTGGCGGGAAACTCTGGTGGTGCGGGTAGTTCTGGTGCGCAGGAGGCGCGTACGACAGGTTCTGCGGGGCATAGCCCCCGGGCGGCGGCGGTCCGTAGGGCGAAAACGCCTCCGGCGGTGGATAATGAGTGTTATATGCACCAGCATACGGTTGATACGGTATTTGGTGACCATTATCTATAACAATGAAAACAACGTCAATACTTCCGAAATATAACCAATAAGATATATGTTTCGCGCTCAAAGTTCACTCACCTATATAATTTAGCGGCAAACCGTTTCCCTGGACCACTCCATGGCCCGGTTCGCCCTCCATTCGCAATCGCTTCTGATTCATGGCTCTTTCGGCTTCATAATTCATCTTGGTAACTAAAAACAAAAACCTCTTACAATACCACTATCCGCGTCCACAATAAAACTCATTTCTACATTAATATCGCAACAACACAACGCATATTAAACATTCTCGCGTTAATTGTGACGGACGCCAACCGGACGCCAGCACAAAACACAGGTTATATGCCCAGCAAAAGCAAACACAAGCGTACCTTTGTTGGTCAATGATTGTTATTGATTTTAGTTTATAGACGCACTTAGAGCATTCCCCGCGATGATTTGGTACATAATAGAGCACTTTAACAAGTCAAAATAACTGTTGCATACAAAATATGCATCAAATTATCGGCCTAATGACAGTAAAATTAGAAAAAAAACACAAGTGAAGCGGAGTTCGAGTATTTTTTTTCTCATTCTTTTGTATTTTTTTGTCGTGGCAACTTGTCTTTTTTGTCTTCATATTCTGACGCGACCTCCAAAACTGTAAATTGATTTCTCGTGAAATATCATAAAATTTGTAAACGATTAAACGCTGATAAATGAAATAGTTCTAATTTTTCCACAAAACTGTCGTATAAATCAGAAAGTATTTAACAATTTGAATATCATGGTCATGCTTAAAATTTAAACAGTGTCAACATGGGGTTTGGAACGTTTACCCAAAAAATGCAAAAATAAGTTTTGCACTGGCAGCACTAAATTTAAAAAATAATTAAATTAAAAAATATTGCCATAAAACACCAATCCTTCTGTTTTGTTTATTTTTAATTTTTGCGCGAAATATTTTTGATTCGAAAAATGCCATGTTTTTTATAATTTTATTCAGCAGTTACAAGTTATAAGTGCGTTCCAATGATTAATCTAAAATAAAATACCAAAACATTTTTAATTATTTGATTTTAATATCGCAAAGTAGAAATTATTGTCAAATATTATGGCAGCCCGCGCTGGTATTTCCAACACCGTTTAATGGAGTGCACTCGCGCATTTTGTGTTTTTTAAGTTGTTTTTGAACTTTTTTCAATTTAATGTAGCGTTGCATTGTATTTAACCTAAGAAAAACATTAGTAGTGATATTTTATTCAAGTTTTATAGTTAGTGATTTGTTTTTTATTGAGGTAAGTCGACCCTTGCAAAAATTTCACCACAATGATTTCTTGCTGAAAAGTTTGTTATTTCCTTTTTATGAACAGGAACAGTATTACGTTTGTTATAGATATCTTATTTTGAAGAGACGTAAGAAAGTGTTAGACATTGATAAGATACTTTAATTTATATTTTTATCCGATTTTCGCAGTTTTCTGTTGCAAAGTAGTCTGCCTATCTAGAGTTAGATGGAAACTACCACATCTACGATTCAAAAAAGAACTCATTATGTGTTGAACATTATCAACTTTGCTGAAACTCAGTTAAAACACAAAACGTGACCAATTTAAGTACTTAAAAACTATTTAAAAGTTTAAAACAATATAAAAGTATAGGTTACGATATTTTACAAGCAAAGTTTTCCTGCTCATTGGCAAAGTTTGACAACCTAACATAACATTAAAAAAAACTAATTTTTACTTTGATTATAACAATTAAACAAGGCAATATAATTGAAAACTACTTGAAACTAACCAACTTTTGTAGACGAAAAAGTTGTGATAAGACTTCTTTGACACCAAGTCTGTTATCACTATCAGACGACATATTATGATCATCAATGTTCTTAGTAAGGTTTGCTCTCTTTAGTTTTACTGTTCCTCAATTTTGCAGTGTGATGTTAAGCTATTCTTGTAGTCTTTATATTGACTATAACTTTCATATTATGGTAGTATTGTTGAATATTACTATCAAATGCGTTTTTTAGTACCTAACATCACAAGATGGCAGCGATTGGAAAAATCAACTTGATTATTTTTCAGTGTTAGGTAATTTCATGTTTTCCTGATATAAAAGTAATGTTTGGAAGGAATCAATGGCTTCACTAAGGGTATAAACAGACAGATATAAATAATTTTTTTTTTAAACTATGTTTTTGTTCTAAATTGAAATTAATGATTTGACTGTAGTTATTTTATTAAGCACAAGCAAACAGTTCTAACAATTAATTCGTCATCATATTAGCCGCTAGACATCCACTGCTGAACTTAGACCTCTTTTTATAATAATCAATAAAATGTGGAGCCTCATTATCTTTTATTTTATTATCTAGTCCAGCAACAACTATGAGATTTCGTATCTGATTAAATTGGGTTTTATATAATTTGGCACTTCAGGTGAAGACATAAGGATTCTATTTAACTGATTGTCATGTGATAAGGGATTGTATTACATTGGTTATGATGTCAATACTAATAATAGTCACAGTTCAGAGATAGGTAAACAAATATCAATGATTACTTGCTTTTATGAATGATGTCAAATGTTTGATAGTAGATTTCTACATACTACATTATTTAGTTTCTTCGTCAAATTTCCATGGTGCTTGGTGACTGACCTTCTCACAGTTATACAGCCTCATTTTGTGCCTTTTTGCTCAAGTCATTCTGGCTCCTGCATGAATTTCTCGAGGGAAGTGGAAACTATCGTAATTTCTTCTCTTATAATATCTTCTGATTTATTACATTGATGAATCCAAGACAGTTATTCATGGCCCTGACGGGAGCCGGACTTCAGTGTTCTGGTGTTTTCATGGTTGTATCTACTCTGATCCTGGCTTACAGTAGTTGCAACAGTTTTAGGATGACATGGCAGGCTCGTGGAATTAAAAAAAAATACTACTTTACCATTTGGTACATCTTATATTTTTCCTCCTAGGTATCCTTATGTTGTTGTTCAGTGGCATAGTGACGTCATTCCCTCCTACAATGTCTCTTACAGTGAAAGAATTTATAAAATCGAGTACTTCCAAAGGAGATTTCGAAGCCTGTTTAATGCAAACAAATGAGAAATGAAATGTTTTCTTTTTGTCCTAGTTATTAGTGAGATGATATAAGGTTTAACATAATTATGAAATGAAAATTTCTACTAATGATCATGAAATGAACTTCATTAATTTATAGAAAAACCCAAAGAACATTAATGTATATATTTTATTATATATTTTGTTTCGTTGATAGCTGAAAATAAAATACTGAATCAGTTATTTATTGGATAACTACAAAAATGTAAAGAAGTATTCACGGAATGTGATGACGTTATGATATCTGGTTGGCAAAATGGAGGAAAATTATGTATAGCAAAACAAGAATGCATTTCACTTTCTGTTATAAAACTTCTTTATGTTTTTTTTTCCAAAACGATAAGTGTAACTGCTTAGAAGATTTTTTATACTCTTTAAAATAGTTCATTGATTGGACATGAGGATTTGATTATATAACGTAACAGTGCTTGACAAAACTTATCTTTGAAGGATAAATAACTTTAACTTCAATCATTTTAATATCGAATTGTTGATGAAATTTAATGAAATATTTGTACCAGCCTACAGTTTGTTGCCACTGGTAGTAAAGAATTCCGGTTTGACAATACCAGTTTATTTTATTTTGAGCCTTTATCGTCTCACTGCAAAGACTCCTTACCAACCTTCCATTCCTCTCTATGTAAAGCTTTTTGCAGCCAATCTATGACAACATAGATGTCCAGTTTGTCTTGCCATCTCCTTTTGGATACCAGAAAATATTTTAACTTTTAACCCATAAATCCCCAAGCGGTCACCAATCCCCAAGCGGTCACCGGTGACCGCTTTCCACTAATATTACATTACATTATAGACCTTATTTTTAATGTTTAGAGACTACTTTTGTATAACCAAATTTAGGGGATGGATTTCAACGGGTTAAGAGTCTACTTTGTAAAAATATTTGATGTATATATTTATGTTTGTTTCAGATATAATCATGGAGCAACACGATATGCCATATGAAGAATTAGTACCAGATTATGAAAATTTCCATGACCAGGATTTGATGCTGTAAGTATTTTTGATTTTGTAAAGGACATAGTTAGGCAGAGACGCACAATGTGCACATATTATGATCCCTATAGAATTGGCAGCAAACCCGTTATCATTCACTTGACATGATCAAAGAAGTTTTGATGCTACTTAAATTTAAAAAATCTTACTATAATACGCCTCAGCGACTGCTGACATGACTATGTTCACTATTCATATATTATTCTTAATTGCAGAAGCATGGAAAATATGGAGACATACGATATCAACTTGAGTGATATTGTTAATCAGGCTGCTTTCCTGCCGTCCCCTGGTTCGGACACCATGGATATTGCATCCAAACCCGTGGTTGAATTCCCTGTAAGTCATTTTAGTGCATTCAAATATTTTATGTTGTTGTTTAATATTATTTAGGAACTTTAGGACATCTATTGCAGAATCCGGCCCCATATCCAACTGCAGACGGAAGTAGGCTGAAGATGGATTGTGTTATATTATGACATGATATCTTAGTTTTAAGAAATAAATAGACACTATGTGGACACAACCAGAACTTCTCTAAAGTTTCATAAGATTTTTTGAGCTATTCAACGTTAGTTTATGTGTTGTTATTCCCTGTCGGATCTCGCTCATTTAAAAAAATATCATTAGATGTGTTTATGATTATAGCCAACCTACATTGAGCAAGCGTGGTGATTAATGCTTAAACCTTCACAATGTGAAAAGAGGCTGTTGCTCTGCATTCGACACTAAGACTTATATAAAAATGTTGATGTATCATGTGTCATATACAAAGAGTATAATAAGTATAGGGGAAGTCATATATTAGCTTAGCAACATTATCAAAGTTATACAGAATGTCACCGATTAAAATTATAAAAGTTGTCTGCATTTTCGGTATCGTTCCGTTTACACCTATAAGTACTAGTACGTTTCCCCATTTAAAGGACAAATGTGTGTAAAGAATTATTATGACAATGCTCATATGCAGTTTTATTTTGTCCAGTTCTCTCCGCGAGGTCCACCAGCGCGCCTCTCTTTCCCCGGGAACCTCAACTTCACTTTGGAAGTCAACAGCAAGGATGTTCATAAGAAAACCTTCTTGGTAAGTTCTTAAGATGGCTGATTTATCATTTCTAGAAAAGAAAGGAGAACGGCAGATTTCGTACCGCTTTGCTAAAAAAAGATTTGTCATTGTTTTGCCTTGGGCAATTGGGTAGCTATAGAATCCTCTAAATACGTTATGTTAGCATATTTAATAGATTTTTAGAACTTGGGAAGCCCTGGAAAATCTCATATTCAATAATGATAAGAAGCAATCAACAAAACGGCTACATATTAAATAAAAACAAACCGCGATTGACGTTTATAAAGTTGCCATGCGTAAACATGAAATCAGAGTATATTGAATGTCGCTATTTCATAAACTCATTTATTTTAACATTTGTACGTAGTTCACAAATATTTGTACAAATGAAGCGAATACGCAATGGCAAGTGTAATACCGCCTTTACGTACCTTCTGCACATTTTCAAAGTGAAATAACTTTTGAACCCGAAGTTCTAAAAATATGTAATTTTTTTCTAAACTTCATAATAAAAATATCTATCGTTCAGACCATTCACTTGGTTAAAACAATGACAAATACAAAATTTTATAGCGGTACCAAACCTCCATACAAACCTGCCATTCTCCTTTAAAATTGAAGGTGTGTAACTGTTTATTTTAATACTATTCATGCTATAGTTTTAACTCCTTATACTCATCATCACGCGAGTCTTCCATTGGGGTAGGCAGATACAGACAATTAAATACGAATATAATTCCTGCGTCATAGCGTCCAATGTTGTTTTCATTTTCGTCGTTATTTGTGTCAGTAAGGTTCTAACAGTATTTTTTACTTAGGCGAGAAGAATTTGATTTTTCATCTTGAGCAGAAAAAAAAACGGATACCTTGAGTTATATAAAACAGGTACAGTCAAATAACATTATTCTACTAACATACCTCTTCTACTTCATCTACTTTCATTAACTAGTCGTGATTGATGCAGTCAACGGTTTAACTCGTAGATCCCCAAGTGCTCTCCGGTGATCACTTTCCCCTAACTATATTATAGACCTTATTTCTGATGTTTAGAGGCTACTTTTGTATGAACTAATTTAGGGGATGATTTTCAATGGGTTAATAGTATCAAGTTTTAATAAATAATGGTCTTATCTCTACAATCTAGTCTGTCACTGTTTTGCCTAGGTTATGACCGTAAGTCATCTAGGTTAAACATATATTGGGTTTTTTTATTGGAAGATTGTAAGTCTATAAATAAAATTCAAAGCCGGATTCTCTCATTGCCTATTAATCTTTTACTCATTAATGGCTTAAAGTCGCTAGATGGAACAAAGATTTAATTTTTGACCTCTTAACTCATTACAACATATTGTATGAAAATTATAATAATTGTCTAGATAGAAGGTAAAAAAAAAAACAAAATTAAGATGCCTAAGTCTTAAGTTCAGGATCGTATGAAGTATTATTGGGATGTTGTGTGCGTTACCCAGGCCAGATGTTGTCAAAAATAGTCATTTGAATCTTATAGATAATTAATTTTGCAACTTCTGTAATTGTTGCGCACATTTTTAAATTTGTTGCTTTTATAGTTTTTTCATTATTTCACAAAAACATTTCCTGCTGAGGTAACGTTACCCCAGCCAGACCTTTTTGTTTCTAATAGGAATATTTAAATAATTACTAGTTATAAAATAAGTTGTCTAGATGAAGTAAATGTTGTGCCTTATTTTCTATTTGTTCTTTCATCGGTTGCGAAGTTAGTCGAGATTTTGCTGGGGTAACGTATTTGGTTTTGCTAGATCTGTGAAATGGTTAAGCGGGTTCTTATCATATTTCGTACAAGGCTTCTTAGGAATTAGTTTAAATTAGTTCTGCAATAATAAAACCAAAATAACACAGCTTAAAGGTTATTTCATTAAATAGAAAACTTCAATTGGTCCTAGCACTCTCAATACGAGCTTCATCTAGACAACTTATTTTATGGCTAGTAATTATTTAAATATTCCCATTAGAAAGAAAAACGTCTGGCTGAGGTAACGTTACCCCAGCAGGAAATGTTTTTGTGAAATAATGAAAAAACTATAAACGCAACAAATTCGAAAATGTGCGCAACAATGATAGAAGCTGCAAAACTAATTATCTATAAGATTCAAATGAGCATTTTCGACAACAACTGGCCTGGGTAACGCACACTGGGATTTTTTTAATTTTTAATTGTAACCAACTTCAAAAAGGAGGAGTATGTGTGTATGTTTGTGGATGATTATCTAGCGATTGGCTCAACCGATTTAGAAGTGGTTTTCAGAAAAGTGTTTTTACATTTAAGAGAATGTATTGTAAATTAAATTTGGTATTACGAATTTAAAAAAAAAATTAGTATATGAATTAACCCATTTCATAAAAGAGAGGGTTGAAGTGGGTTTTTTTAAACAATTATTTCGAATTAAGTTTACTTCCGACTCTGAAAGTGATTCCGGTGTATAGCAAAAGGGTCACCTCACTTTACATAGTTTACATGCGGGGTCAAAGAGATTAGAAGGCAAGATGGCGGACGTAATGCTATTACATATAGATGACTAATAACACAATAGTGCGTGCTGATATTCTAACCAATTATATTGTATTACATACTTCAACTTTATTGCATTGATATAAAGTCGAAGATCCAATGAATAAATTTGACAGATTGGGTTGGTTGATCTGCTGGCCACTGTATATATATAGTCTGTGGATAACTAACTGCTCGGGGAAATACATTATACCAACCAGATAACATTTTATCATAGATTATAATTGTTGTATTTATTTATTCATACCTCCGTCTGATTCCAAATGTTTTTATAATTTATTCGATGCTATCTCTTATTATGTGTTTTGTCCGATTAAAGACACGTGTCCTTTTAGGGCCTCTGCAATGAATGACGTTTTTAAACGTGATGAGAATTCGTTACATAGTAAGATCTTGTTGCAAAAATATCAACTATAGATATAATTTATATGGTCTTCGGAAGGTATGTATCTATGTATTAGGGACTTTAAACGCTGCTTCCTACCAAGTTTTTTTTTTTTTTTTTTTTTTTCTACATGTAATTAATACAGGGTTTTTATCCATGAGGATACGCCAACCCCATCGTACCTAATACTACCTACAAACATTATATAAACAAAATAAACAAAACCTTAAAATTAAACATGAAAGTTTCTAATTAACTTAGTCAACGAAATACATCAACTGACACAATCGTTTTGCTAATTCAGAATTTGGCTGAGCTAAAATAGATTGTATCAACCCTACCTCTTGTATATTTAGCTGGAATTCATTGACCAGATCGTTCCGTTGACTTTGATTCCTGACGCTCCTACCAAGTTTACTACATGTAATATATAATGGAATGATGAAATGAAATAATATTTATTTCTGCAAATAGGTTACAGAGTAATACTTTTACATAACGCCTTTTATCCTCGAAGGGGTAGACAGAGGCTGACACTCCCTCCCGCCTCACCCAGGCGGGAGCAGTCATTCGATGATTTTCCCCCCTTAAAAAAAAAAAGGCAGAGGTGCACATTATACCACTGTACAATGTAACACCCACTTTTCACTATTTATGTTATAAGTCCCATGTAATAGGGGGTGAGCCTATTGCCATTGCCATATTTATTATTATTATTATTTTTATTCTCACAAACTTTATTATATTAGTAGGATAGTAGGATGTAAATTTGTATAATCAGAAATGCGCTAACAAACAACGATCGATCTTTTCTTGAATGTTTATTTTTTGTTCCCAGTACTCCCACCGTCTGAACCGTATCTACGTGGACAGAAAGTGTAACTTCAGCATCCAGTTCAACTGGGACTACGTTAATGCTCCACAAATGTTCGTGAGGTCCACCGTCGTGTTCTCGGATGAGGCGCAGGCGGAGAAACGAGTGGAGAGGTGTGTTCAACACTACCATGAGAGTTCTACGGCTGGTGAGTAGTATAAACTTTACATATAATAGTGTTTATATAAGAAATGTATTGTTTTTTTTACTTATCAGATGGTGTTTTATACTCTTAACTGAAATCATTCTGTAACTGATATAATGACATACGGGTTAAGTGCAGTAGCGGTTTTAGGGTACGAGGCTAGGCGACGGGTCAGGGGCGCCTCTTTCTAATTCTATATAATTTCCCACAGGCGCCCCTTAAAGTTCTTTCGCTCATTTCTCAAAAGATATAACATTTTTATTAGGTGTTTATTGGGTAGTTGATTATTATATTAGTGATCAATCATTACATTAGTGCTACAAAATTTCTATCAAATACTAAGCTACCTCAGTATTTTGGAATTGGATTGAGGGAAGAAGTTAATTAAGCTTTAGAGTGAAGTCTATGTTAGGTATTCAATTGTTCATTGCCCTACACACTAAAAAAGGGAATAGTTATGTATCCTCGATTATTATAGAAAAACTTAAACTCTAGGTATGCAAGCGGAAATGGCAAAGAATGTCCTCCACTCATCCCGAGACATCGGCACCCAGGGTGTGTACTACTGCGGGAATATAGATATGGCAGACTCCTGGTACTCCGTGCTGGTGCAGTTCGACAGAAACGGACCGGAGCCCTGCACCCACGCTTACCAGTTCTCGTGCAAGAACTCGTGCGCCACTGGTATCAATAGGCGAGCTATCGCCATCATTTTCACCCTGGAAGATAAGACGTATGTATTTTAATATTATTATTTATTTTTAAGGTTCGAAGGTGTCCCATATTTATATTAAATATCAAAATTTCTGATATTACTGATATATTATCTCTGATACATAGTTTAGTATCTTATGAAATATCATAATATATAATAAATATATTATGATAAATGTTCTATAGGCCAATAGATTAGATCCATTTTCCGTATGAATTTTAGTTTTCTTTAGATCAGTAGTTTTAATGTCTTAAATTCATTCCGGAATTTGGTCTAAATCAAAGGAAATGTAAAATTAAAATTAGAAAAGAAATGTATTCACAACACTAATTCACATATTTTTACCAGCGGACAAGTCTACGGTCGTCAGAAAGTAGGTGCCAGGGTGTGTGCCTGTCCCCGCCGAGACATGTCGAAGGATGAGACAGCTGAGGGTGTCTACAAGAGTGGCAAGAAACGTATCCCGTCCAACCAGATCGACCCGCCCAAGACTAAGAAGATCAAAATCGAGAACAACTTGATGGAATTTGATGATAAAGTCTACAAGTTGCCGCCGGTAAGTTCTTTACAATAAGTTTTATAACATTGTTATTAAAAAATAACTAAATCATATGATTTAGTAGATAGATAAGTTCTTTTTAATATTAAACATAATTTTTAATATTAAACTTAATATTAAAAAGAACTTAATATAAAATGTAATTACTAACATAAAGTGTCAAAGGATTTCTCATCGTTGTCGTGAGGTAGGGTGTCTAAAACCTTTTAATTTTAATGTGCAATCTTATTAGGCGTAGAAGAGCCATGCTTCGGCAAGTATGGGCCGATACGGCCGGAGTGATACCACGGCCTCACAGAAAACCAACATGAAACAACGCTTGAGTTGTGTTTCGTCGTATGAGCGAGGTTACTGGAGGCCCAAACCCCCCTTCCCAATCCCTGAATCCCCAACAATCCTCAAATTCCTTCATCTGGTGTTTCGGGTATCCATGGACGGTGCCGATTTGCTTACCATCAGGTGATCCTTATTATGACTGCTCTTTTACCGGCTTATTCCCAGGCCTAAAAGAAATCCCGCTGGTCAAGCATGGAGCCTTTTTGTAAAGGAGGTCCATTGTCCAGTATTAATGACCAGTATTCAACAGTCACAAAGGCTGTTGTTGATGATGACGATTTTCCTAATTACAGTTGGAAATCGTTGGATCCCGAGCAGCATTGTGCGGCCTCAAAACTATGCTGGAAATGATGGAGCTCGCGGTCGAATGCAGGAAGAAGAACGAGCCAGACATCACAGCACAGTACGCGCCACGCATTGCCAACCTTAAAGCCGCCATACAGAAGATCGAAAATACAAAAGCACCGCCAGCACCGACAGGACCGACAGCACCGTCGTCACAGTAACTTGTACCTTATAGAAGTAAGATGTTCTTATTTAGTTATCTACGTTAGAATTATTATTATTATGTTTGTATTTCTGATTTCCAAGTTTATTGACATTTAATTTTCATTTTGTATGTGATCATTTTCGTTTCGATCACAATTTTCGTTTTTTAAGTACAGTGAGAGTACATTAATTGGTGCCAGTCGCATTTTTATATTTGCAGTGTATTTGAGGTGGATGAGATATAGTTTTTCTGGTTTTTAGTTCCAAAGAATATTGTGAGTTTCTCGTTGCATATAAATAGTGGCGTAAGCTCTTTTGATGAATATATACCAAATTCAACACATTCGTTTAACTCCTGACATTTAAGCTAGTATGACTGACTTTCCCCTCGAGCGCCGCTAACCGAAAACTCACTGCACTGCAAATATACAGTAACTGAATTATTTTCTCATCCACACCGTTATAGACATTATTTCCGAAGTTTAGAGACTACTTTTGTATTAACAAGTTTACTAATTAATCAGGAAAAAGTTAAATACTGGCACTTTGAAGTTACCTAAAAAAATAGACAACAGTTTGGTCCCACCCTTTATACATATGTATTTATAAGTGTTAGACAATATACCGTTGAGATTACGAAGCCGACGAGCTTTAACTTACGACCGAATACTCAAACTACACTCGATCCTACGCCATCTTTGTTTTATTAAAATGCAACAACAAATTACACTATGTTTAGTGAAGTTTGAGTATTTGCTCGTTAATCTTAGTTCCCTCCAATTTAACAGATATAGTTGAGATTACGCACAAACCAGGAGTTTTAAATTACTAGGTACAGGCTAATGACAAAAGCGAATTATTTCTTAAAATATATTTTTGCAAGTTTAAATACCTACTTTTAATGCTAACATACTTTTGTCATTGACTGTACCTCTATTTGGCTGCCCACCGAAAAAAATCGTGACGTCATTCAATCACGAAGCTTCTGATTTGCTAAACTTTTTAATATTCTGCCATTATTTATTGCGCATTGTGAGTTGTCCTCAAAATATGGTAGAAAACATCACCGGAGCTATATATGATACATACTTACAATTTATTACTTACGAAGCTCTTTCATACATTTCATATTATTACGTTTATCTGAATTCTATGGACATACAAATACTCAAAATAAAGATTTGAAAAATATTACACTTCACAAAATGTAATAAAGCAAAAATAGTACATTCATTGGCTATAAAAAAGACTGATATAATATTTTATTTCAATTTGGTGGTGGACTTAACAGTATCGCAACAAAATTAATTACAAATTTTAACGTTTTAATTTTTTTTAAAGTCCACGGCATAAATGAATTCTGCAATTACACTTGTCAATTAAAAAATTCTATTTTTTTTAAACATTGCTTACTTATTTATGTCGCGGACTGTACTTTGTAAAATATAGTTATATGATTAAAAAAACGGTAAAATTATAAAAAAAAATTGCTTATTGTTAATTTTTCTACTTAATTTTTGAAGTTCATTTTTGTTTTTAGATTATCATGTTAGTCACTGCTAGTGGGTAAGGTTTTCATACCAATATGTGTCTTATTTTTATGTATTGTTGATACATTTTACATAGATACATAATATTAAGAATTATATTTTTCTATGAATGTTTATGTGAAGTCGTATAGTTGGGTAGAAACCCAGGTTTTGATTTTGTTGATCTGTTTTTAAAATGGCTTCTGTATTATTCCAGTATCATGATTATAAGATATCCCAGTACATTATACAGTCATATTTTGTCCTCCAGTGCCTTTTTGGAATAAAATAGACACTATGACTTCAAAATTACGTAATAAAAATATTTGCTGTTATTTTATCTTATGTGATTGTTAAAAAAATGCTTGAAATGTTAATGTTTTCGAATGGAAAGAGATATTGCACTGGTGGTTGGATTCTGTGCAATTTTATGAAGGTGCTATACTATTATAGCAGATGATCCTCCTTTTTGCCTAACCACAGATTGGTTAGATATATTTTTCCACTATGATACTCTGTGGTTACTTAAGTACAATAACGTTGTACGATTATGAAAGATTTTAATTAATTTTAGATACGCAAATTGTCTTTAAGTTTTATAAGTAGTTTTTAAGTTTAATTTTTCAAGAATGTAGTTTAAAATTTATTATGGTTGTTGAACCTAATACTTTTTAAATTAGCGGCTTTAATACAATAATGAATTGAATACAAAGATGAATAAATGACTTTAAAAAGCTATGTGTGTATTTTCTTGAGTATCTCGCCTTACACTTACTTTAAACTTGTTAAAATAAATCCCATGGGACAAAGGCGAGAGCCATGTCATGTCTATTAGTTGATTTACATCTCACAGATTTAGGAAGAAGAGTTGTCATATCCGCTAGCAAGAGCGCCTTGCAACATATGGCTCGATGTACCTCTGGGTATAGCAGAGGTGTACCAATAGCCTCCGACACAATTCGGAAATTATGAATTAAATACTAGAGACGTCATTCTGAGGTTGCAATGTGTTCCTTCTCATATGGGATTATAATTACCCCTATACTTATTATACTCTTTGAGGAAATAGACGTAGACGTTTCCATTTTGCCTTTCTGACTTCTGTACGTGTACGTTACCCAGGCCAGTTGTTTTCGAAAATGGTCATTTGAATTTTATAGATAATTAGTTGTGCGGCTTCTGTAATTGTTGCGCTTATAGTTTTTTAATTATTTCACAAAAACATTTCCTGCTGGGGTAACGTTACCCCAGCCAAACCTTTTTCTTTCTAATGGGAATATTTAAATAATTACTAGCTATAAAATTAGTAGTCTAGACCAGGGCCGTCACACTTACAGCCATTGACAGCTTTAAAAATCGGACCGTCAGCTACATCTAGTTTTCGAACCTGAAATTAAATGTTGTCAAAACTTTTTTTTTTGTTGTCAAAACTAATATTTTCAGTGGCCACACAGTTCCAACCAAGGTTGCAACATTATTTCAAAATTTAGGGTTAAAATAATATTTTTTGGAAATAGTACAATAACATTATACACATTTATTTAATACTATATTGCAATTTTCACAAAATAATTCCTTAAACTTAGATCAAATGACAGTTATGCTGGCATAATCGTTCAAAGATGACGGCCTTTTTACTAATAAAGAGATTAAAAAGATATCAAGTGATGGATGACAAACTAAACTGTATGAAGTGACTGCGTCAGGTTTCTGCATCCAAAAGCATTAACCTAAGAGCCTGTGAACCCCAGGTCTAGGCCACCGTTTTTATTATATAAAAACTAATATACTCAATTTTCATAGAAAATCTATAAAATAGGTTGCACACATTCTTTCTGTCTCCCTATCACACACACACACACACACACACACACACAC